TTTTTTCATTTTAGAAAGATCTCATGAAGTGGGCCAGGCTGGGCTGGTATTTGAGATATTCCTGCTTCAGCCACCCGAGTTGATTGAATTATACCTGTGTACCACCATGTCCACCATATGTCTTTCCATCTTTTAATAATTTTAAAATAATACTTAGCTATTACTTAACTCATTAATTTAAGAAATTTCAAAATAAGATCGAAAGTAATACATTTTTTCCTTCAAATTCATTTGTATTTGAAAATTTCAGTATTGGAACACTTTCAATATCGATCACTAACATACTGCTTCGCCAGTTCCCAAAGCTACTTTTTCCACAATTCTGGTGGTGCACTAAGTTGAAAACGGACAAGTCAAAGTTACCCATAAGATCAACAATGAAGAGAACAATGGAATTTCATTCGGTTCTCATGCAATTTGTTTTGTGACCAGAAGTGTGGACACAATTCAATTTTAGATTCAACATACCATGGTAATTTTCCAACACATTATTTGACATACAAATTATTTGGAAATTTTTATTCTCAAGTGTTGCAGCTCTTACTCTACTTTTCTGTTCCGGGTTCAATCCACTGACTCTGCTTCTATAGGGTTCCAAAGGACCCTTGTCATTATATCAACACTTACTTCATTAATTTCCGGGAATTATAAGAAGTGTCCAAACGCATAATTTTCTTTGTATTCATCCACTGTATCTTCTTCAATATATAATATTTCCATTTCAGATACCCAAAGCACATTCATAGCAATATTCATAGCAATAAATACAGTAAAAAGGAAAATGATCCGAGGAGAAAAAAAAAACACCATAGTTCTGTATACACATCTAAGCGACAGGCCATTAAAATTAAGTGTCCTCTGTAAGCTTTTTAATTAGCTCCCTAATCCATTGATATTACCAACGCATGTTAGTGCTGGTACTATGAAGTTGTATCCTGCCTTCATAAATAAGACTTTTTAGATAGCAAGCTAGATTTGTCTTGGATGAAAATTACATGATCTGAAACTTCAGGAAAAAAAGGAAAACGAATTGAGATTGACATTTTGGTGGTTGCCTTTATTACCAGGACAGCAGTTGTCATTTCAGGTGACCAGGGCTAGCATGCGGCCGTGAATACCTGATGTGGAGACCACTGTGTTGTGAGAAATCAATTTCGCTGAGTAAGAGGCCTTCGCTGACAGGATTGTGGATTCTGTCAAAGCTGTGAAACAGTATGTTTACAGAGAAGGCCAGACCGGGAGAGGGCTGTGGCTGTCCCAACAGCAGAGATCAGTTCAAGTCCCTGTCCCCAGGGCAGAGTTGCCTTCCCTTGAAAGAGAAAGAATCATGCGCATTTGTAGAGTTACCTGAAGTGTTTATAGTTCTAAATGCTACGGTTTCTATTGATAGTAGCTTCTGAACCAATTATGAGTGACTATGCACAGAGCTGTAGAGAGGCCCTTGTCCTTAG